CTGTTGCTTTTTACAGATTCAGACTAACACGGCTACCCCTCTGATACTCATTCATATGAATGCTTAGTCTCCTTGCCCTAGGGTAGCTCTACAACTCCCTGCTACCACAGAGCTGGGTTTTAAAACATTTGTTTTGGAATATGAGTGACAAGTTATCCTTTCTGCTGAGTAGGTTGGCCTTCTAAGGTGCCAGCTTCTGTGGCCTTCTGGGGTTTGTGCTGGATCATGCTCATAAGCAATGAGACCCAACAGGCAGTGCATGTTTTGGCAATTATATCCTTGAGAGGTATTTATAGCCACAAGGCCAAAAGCTGAGTTACTTAAACCACCCAAGCAGCACCAAAAATCACATTGCAGTTCCAGGTCTCAAGTTTCTCATGGCTAATCTGAAATATAGTTCAGCAATAAATAGGAGGGAAATTGTCTCCTTTATACATTGAATAGGCACTATTGCACAGGTATGACAACCAATCACAAAGCTCCATTTGCGTCCAGCATTCTAGACAAACATGTATTATTGATAATCTTATGATTTAACAACATAAGAGCATTTGTGCATGTGACAGAATTGGGGTTTAAATAAATTTATTCATGCAGAGAGGCTAATTTATGCCTCTTTCTTCCATACAAAATATAAGGCTTTCACCACTGCCTTCTATCTTTGGCAGTCTCTTGCTGCAGTCTTGGCTTCTTCCCATGTCAATTTGATAGCTTTCAGTTCTGCTTCTGCTGTGTATTTCCAAGTTGTCCTTGGTCTATCCTGTCACCTCTTGGTCTGAGGATTCCAGTCCAATGTGTGTCTTGTTAGGTTGTTTGGTTATTTCTTCCATGTGCGTCCTACCCACCCACTTTTTCCTATAATTTCCTGTCCTATCAGTTTGTTTCATCCTCCTCCAGAGCAATGCATTTCAGATTTTTTTCTAGCTATCTAATGTTCAGAATTTGTCTAAGGCATTTGTTTATAAAACCTTGAACTTTAGATAGTATGGTCTTGATAAGTCTCCAAATTCAGCACCATATAGTAAGACAGATTTTACAATGGTGCTAAATATTCAAAGTTGAGTTTGGAAGGCCAGGTTTCTGCTTCTCCAGTTCAGCTTTAGGGTTTCAAAGGCATATCTGCCTTTTGCTATTCTGCACAAAGAAACATCACGGATATGTAGGAATACTCTTAAGCAAACCATTTATAGAAATAAATGTCTTTAAAAGAATAAGTTTCTTGTATGTGAACATTAGTCACACTTATGAGATCTCAGATGACAGCGAATTGTTCAAAACCTTCAGAAATCCACACATGGCAACAGTGTAATACCTTCTAGAGACCCAAACCATAAAGTTTCTTACTGAGGTGATAGGATTGTGTGTCCAGAGAGGCAGGGCCAGCTCCAGCTTTTTTGCCGCCCCAAGCGGCGAAGCGGGGGCGGCGAGAGGGGGAGATAAAGCCCATCGGCGGCAGCTCAATCGTGTCGCTTCTTTCTTCTGCGGCAATTCAGCGGTGGGTCCTTCGCTCCCTCTCTTCCTCTTCGGCGGCACCTCAAAGAGGAAGAGAGGGACTGAGGGACTTGCCGCCGAAGGCCCGGACGTGCCGCCCCTTTCCATTGGCCACCCCAAGCACCTGCTTCCTTCGCTGGTGCCTGGAGCCGGCCCTGCAGAAAGGGAGGCACTAAATATGCTGTAGTTCCCCCAGTCAGTTCATCCATGCAGCTGCACTAGCATTTTCAAAAAATACAGACACTTATCTGGTCTTTCAACTGAAGGACTGGTGTTTATGACCCCAACTACCTATATGAAAGAACTGGAAAAATATTCAGTAAAGGGACAAATTCCACTACATTTCTGTGCACACCCAGACAGGGTCGGCAAAGCAGAGCTTTCTGCAGCAGATCTGGCTGAAGCAACTAGATTCAATTTGGGCAGGTGGGCTGACAAAAGAAAGAAGATAAAACAGACTAACTGGTAAATCCTTCAGTTGTTAATTTGCTGTATCATATGTTGTCAGAGTCACCACATTTTTTAAAAAAATTTCTCACTGATTTAAATAGAAACATATGTAAAGAGCAAGAGATGGAACTTTTTGATATTTTCACTGGCATTTTGTTGCTGTAACATAAATACTACTACTATTGGAATATATCCAGAAAAAAATGGAAGGCAAAGTTGTGGGGAAAATTAATGAACCACCACACTAAAAAGCATATTGCCAGTTTCCTACCTGAAGAATATTCATCAATCCTTGCTGTCCTGTGACAATGCTTCAGCAACCGGGCGAAAGAAAGAGATATGGCCAATTCCCTGTACATTTAAAAGAGAAACATAGGCATGTTATACTATGCAAAACCACAAAACTAACTTTCAATAGGACACCAATAAACTGATACAGAAAAATAAAGACTTGCCAAAACTGGTTCATATGTTTCCATTGAAATTATTCTTTTGGGATGGCTCGGTGTTGTATAGCTAATTAAGTATTTTATTGCACAAATTCAGACAGAATTGTGGTGTATTAATGAGATCAGGGTGAATTCATTTTGGATAGAAAGCTCAGGGCAAAACAAATGCAAAACAAATCATAACGATAAATAATAATTAAAGCAGAAACCAGCAATGAATTTACCAGATATATCTGCTATGAAATGGAATAAAAATAAAAGCCATCTAAGTTTAAAGATCTGTCTCCTATGCTGTGCCCAGAGAGATGCTTGTTCTTGTTCGTTTACACTGAAAGCAGAAAAAACAGCTTTACAGTTCTCATAGGAGAAGGAAGAATGGTTTGCAAATGGTTCTAGAGAGAGAGAGAATGACTTGTTTATTCTAAATGTGAAACATATGGTTTTTCTCAAAGCTTTGTTCTATTTTTAATTTCAGTTGGAAAGCTCTATCTTCCTAAACTGTCTTCGTATAAAAAATATTTTTGAATTTTGAACACAACATTCTCCAGATTTATGTTCTGGATATAATATTATCACACAAATAAGACAAGCTTCTGCAACTCAGAAAAGTGACAACACAGCAGAAGTTATTTTTCTAATCAAGTATTAAATTGGTAAAACTACTCAGATTCTCTACTGTGTTAATGTTAGATACATCTCCTTGATTACTAGAGAGTAACCATGCAGTAAGCTATTAAATTAACCTTGCAGATTCAATGCAATGCAAACCTCTTCCATATTTGCTAGCATGTCTCCTTAAACCTCGTGGGCAAATCATGCTTTCTAGGGCACCGAAAAGGTACTACTGCATAATATACTTGGGAGGCTGATTTTATGAACACCGGTGCACATTTTATTTTAAATAAAACCCATATCACACATTTCCCCCCCTTATGTATATCACAGAATTATCGTGGACTATGGTGAGAGACAATTTCTCACAGGAGGTCCTATCCAATTTCCTAGCAATCTGTAACACATGGAGGAGTGTTCTGTCACTGTGATACAGCTACCTTAGTTGTCAGTCTCACCCTAAATAGAGATAGCAAAGCATCATTCCCTGTACAATCTAAGGGATGTGGCTGCATTGCTCTCAATTTTATTTCTGTGTTAGTAAGAAATGAAGCATATGAAATCCACTCACAAATATCTGGCTCTCTTTTATAAAGCTTACAACACCACCTCTGATACCAGCACGCTTAAGAATATTTTCATTTAAGGTTGAGGTTTTAACTCCCTCTGACCAAAGCAAGAACGTTTAGAGTTGTAACTATTCTTAACAGACATCATGGGCAGCGGGTATAATACGCTGCCAACCCGCTGCCGAACACCTCGGGGACCTTCAGGGGCGGAAGAAGCTGGCACTTGGGGCGCTAGCGGCTCAGGCCTGGCGGGGGGGCAGCGGCTTGTCGGGGGCGGCCTTCAGGGCCAGGAGGGGCTGGCAGCTCGAGGGGCCAGCCTGGCGCTAGGGGGGCTGGCAGCTCGTCCAGGCAGTTGCAGCCAGCAGCTCGTTACCTTGCTACAGTTTCAAGCTCAACAGCGTGAAAAATCACCTCTGGTGCTCTTCCCAAATTTGGAGACTCCAGGAACACATAAAGTCCAAGGATAGTGACCACAGACACAATCACAAGTACAAACTCTTTTTCTGTACTACAAGTTTTATTAAAGCAATAAGTAATATTACAATTACCCATTCATACAGAAATCCTACAAAAACCCATGCAATGACTAATACTGTAGACTTATTCACATCCTCAGAAGTTATTCTAGGTTCTGATGGATCTCTCAGATGATCATCAGTAGAGGGATGGTTCCTGCTGGGGTTTCCTGTGGGGTCTTGACTTTTACCCAACCAGGGAACCTCTTTTATATTGTTCTTCTCACCTCATCTAATACATATGCATGAGGGGTTTCAACCCTCTTTTCCTTATTTGTACTTCCACAGTCCATGAATATTGGGTTGCCCCCTTTTTCATAGGTTGTTTCTTAGTTCCTTGTGTTCTTATTAGCATCTATGCACAACATGTACTCTGCGGTCAGGAAGGACATTCCATGATGTCACAATCAGGTGTCTTGTGATCTTGGACAATAAATCGCAGTTTATTAGGTTATGTTTCCATAACATTATTTTACAGTAATGTGCCAACAGGCAACCTTGTGACCTTACTGCCATAGGGTTATTCCTAGGTCACCCACTCATGTCAAGCATTTTAAAGCCTATGGCCTAGTCTGGCTAAGGTAAAAATTTTACAGGCTTCAGTCTTTGCATTTCAGGTCATGCTTGTTTATATTTATTTACACACACACACACACACACACACACACACACACACACACACACACTACCGTTACTTTACCAGACCTCTGTGACTTCTTTGGCTTCAGCCAGAGCTGTGAGTCGCTCCCCCCCCCCCCCCAGCTCTGCTCATCCCTGCAATTCGGGCTGTGAGCTGTGCTGACCCACAGCCAGGGCTGTGCTATTGGAATTTTCTATCTTTTGACTGCTTGGTTACTCATACCAAACAATGCATTCACAGTTTTAGGCATTTAACTTCCTGCTTTGTTTTTTCTGAGAATAAGGGGAAGAAGTATTAGTATATGCACTGCCTCCTGACTTTACCTCAACTGTACCTTAACCAAGCAGTCCTATATCCAGAAGGACTTAAGTGAGGCCTCCTTAGCTCAGTAGTTGTTAACTGAGCACAGGCCAAGGCTGAACGTTCACTGCAAGATCACTATGATTGTACATTTTTCATCACTGTCCACATATCCTAATCCCAGAAAGGAAAATCCTGAAGGACCATTTTCTCAATCTCCTTTATAGCATATTTGCACGACTTAGGTGGTATAGAAGAACCATAACCCAGATGCAAATGCTATCATGTGTAGGCAGTGCCCCTCTGCTATGTTTGGCCAAACTGGACTGTCACTACACAAGAGGATAAATGGACACAAGTCAGATATCAGGAATGGCAATATACAAAAACCTGTAGGAGAACACTTCAACCTCCCTGGCCACACAATAGCAGATGTAAAGGTAGCCATCTTACAGCAAAGAAACTTCAGGACCAGACTCCAAAGAGAAATTGCTGAGCTCCATTCATTTGCAAATTTGACACCATCAGATCAGGATTAAACAAAGACTGTGAATGGTTATCCAACTACAAAAGCAGTTTC